TTGCTTCCTTGCTTCCTTGCTTCCTTGCTTCCTTCCTTGCTTCTTTGCTTCCTTCCTTCCTTGCTCCCTCTCCTTCCTTTCCTATTCTTCTCCTCAGAATGAATAACATTTATTATTTAAGGATTCCAGGATATCAGATGCCTCTCAGTTAATGGATTCTCTTGATTCCATCACCATGGCAACTACATCAATGTTAACCAGCAAAGATCCAGTCATACAGAGTGCTCCAAACGTTGGTAAGAAACAAAACATACTTTAATCCATCTAGTTATTATTGGAACGGTCTTTATGTTGGTTATCAGGGTTGCAAGCTCTTTGGGAACCATAAAACCGTCTAAGTGTCTTGGTAACACATGAAAGTCTAAACAATTCTAAACTGTTTAACTTGTTAGTTGTAAATGAACCAGCATTTTTAAATTTTGCGATCCATTTTTCCCCACAATTTCAGGATAAAATTACTAGGCATTAATGTTAAAATAAAAATTCTAGAATATTAGCCACAAATTCGGCGTAAAAACACGTTTTCGATCCGGACGATCCAGTAAACCGCCGTCCAGTCCATTCCACCCATTCTCGGTTCCTGATTTTCCAAAAATAAAAAATACTCATAATTCAAAATCAAAAACAGTAAGTTTTTCCTCGCCCTTTCAAAAGATAAAAATTTGATAATATTTTTTGCGGTCTAACTGGCTTTTTTGAAAATAATTGCATGTTGTTAATTTTTGTTTTCAGTGGTCAACATGCAGTTGTTCTCGTTCAATCAGCTTTCTGGTTACGTCATGTATCCATTAGATTCCTTGGACAGTACCAGTATCGCTCTGTCACTTGATGACGTCAGGGCAGTCAAGATGAAAAAAGGTAACCTATGATGACGTAGTGTATAGCAGCGCAAAGCTGGATGGGATCACTTACATGAATATCACATGACCAGGAGTGCGGCTGTGGTTTTACTATGTGTAAATATAATGACGTGCAAACCTGAGTGGTTTTTCTTTCGTTTCTAGGCAACAGGACAAAAGTTTCTTTCATTTACTTCAAGAATATTGGACTTTTGCTGACAGGAAACAACCGGTAATTTTTTATTGCGTTTTTTGGTTTATTTGTCTTATTTTTCAATCGAGATTCAAATCTTACAACAAATGATTTTTCCAGTTACAACACAGAAAACAAGACAGAAGATAAAGAAACAGTCAGCCCTGAAGTGCTTTCACTTTCTACAAGCCCAAGACCATCCACAGTATTCAGCAAACCAGTGATTATCACTCTCAAGAATCCTTCAGTAAGAATCATATATTACTGTGGTTTTCAATATTCTGCAAACTCGGTAGCTGCAAGCTGCAAGCTGCACAGCTGAAAAAAGTCTCTGCCCTCAATCAAAAATAATCAGTCGGTACCTTTCATGTTCTTGACTTGCGGCACTGAAAAACCAATTTCGCAACATGCCGTTGAAATGTTTGAGTTCGCAGAATTTCAAACAGCGAAGTAACTCACATATACCTTCGAATGGCTCTTCTAGTTTGATTGTTTTGGGAGTCAAGGGTGGTGTAGTGATAGAGAACTTGCCTCTCACTTCTAGGGTCTTGGGTTGGATTTCTGGTCTCAGCATCACATGTGAGCAGTGTGTGTTAGATCTCTCCCGAGATTCGAGGGGTTTTTTCGGGTTCTCGGTTCAATGTAAATTTCAATTGAATCTGTGAGTTAGCCATGACCTGACTTAGATCAGCCCAGAGGTTGTTTCAGGGTTCAGTCTGTGAGTTAGCCATGCCCTGACTTAGATCAGCCCAGAGGTTGTTTCAGGGTTCGATCTGTGAGTTAGCCATGCCCTGACTTAGATCAGCCCAGAGG